CTTTCGAAAAGTGGGGGCGGGGGGGGTACCTGTAGTGACTCTGGGAATATATAGGACTGGCTGAAAGGAAATCAAAAAAAAAAAACCTTAGTCTTAGCCCTGCAAGAAACATGAATATGACCGAGAACAGGTATGTTTTTACCAGTCTCCCATCGTTTACATTTATTCAGTGGACTTAATGTCAGCTATTAATCTTACCAGGGTACCAGAACAAGCACCATCCCCGATGCCTTTCTGCCTTTTATCAGCCACAAACACATATTAATACTGAGATTAAACCCACACCATTTCTGTTGACACTGAACTTAAAGAAACTGAAGAACTACTGTAAAAACATTGAAGATAATAATCAGTGGAGACAGCCTTTGCACTTGCTGTTCCATCTGCCAAGAACATCCTTCCCCTATGGCTGGTTCTCTGATGTCCACCAGATCTCAGTGTAAATGAATCATGGTTCTTAGCATAAAACCAAAGACTAGCAGAGGGATTTCTTTCCCCTTTGGAGGCAGTTAAGTAGAGTAGGGTGAAATAGGAATTGAGATTTGGCACTGTCCTCTTTTTGGCCTTCCACATCATAAGCAGGATAAGATATGCTGCTTCCATGGCTGCTTCTGATACTGAGAAGCACCCTATCTATAGGAGCCACCCCTTCCCTTATTCTCGACCACTCTGCCCCATTCCCCTACCTGAAATCACTATCTCATATTACGATGCTGATTGCTTATTATTGTCTGTCTCCTCCATGAATCGTAAAGGCAGGAATCTGATCTACTTTTTTATCACTGTTTCTCCAATACCCAGACAGAGCTTGACACAGCAGATGATCAAAAAATTTACCTTCAAGAAAGAAAGGAAATATGATAGCTCATCAATCTATATCATTAGTACATGGCAGGAGCCACTGTCAGCACAACTAAAGTCAGACAGATGCTTCCTTTTCACACAGAAAAGATGACAGAAAGCTTTTAAGATGTAGTAAAAACTTAGAGCTCCTTTACTTACAATCTTGACTGAAAGTTACCACGTTTACCTGCTGAGAAGGCAATTTTATTACTGCAGGGAAAAGTCTTACATCATAGTCTACCTATTTCTTTGCAAATAGCTCTAAAAAGTACTGTGTTGTTCCGCTACCTTGTCCTGTGGAGTAGAATGAGTGTACTTTAAGTAGCTTAGGAAAGGTTTTTTATCCCCTTTCACAGTCTGCATAAGTGCATGAAGGAAGGAGCAGGTCAATAAACTACTACTCTCTGTCCCCACTACACTCTGGAAAAACACATACTGCTCAGTTCAGAAACTTAAGAAACACTTAGCTTAAATCTAAATTACAGGTAGCATTTCCTACACTGGAGAAATTTCCACTAAGCTACTCACCGAGAAGTCTACATCCCACTTTACAAAAATCTGGCAGTACAACTCCTGTCAAAGGAGGAAACTATGGCCATCTCCTTCCTCCTTTACATGCCCCTCTGCCTTAGTCACCTAATGAAAATCATGGTTCTTAGCATAAAACCAAAGACTAGCAGAGGGATTTCTTTCCCCTCTGGAGGCAGTTAAATAGAGTGGGGTAAAATGGGAATTGGGATTTGGCACTGTCCTCCCTTTGGCATTCTACACCGTAAGCAGGATAAGATATGCTGCTTCCATGGCTGCTTCTGATAAGCACAGAAGATTCAAGAACTGTGGCTGACTCGTTCTGCTGTTACGAAAGCAACCTGCGGGCTCCAGATTGAAAAGACATACAAACTTACCATGTTAGATGGGAAAGTTAGAGTGAAAAGACGGAAAAAGGCTCTATCCCCAAAACGGAAAGCAACCCAGTTCAGTAAAACCTGAGAAAATACCCACCTCTACGTAGCTATGTGGGGTGAATGAATTTTATACTAAGTACCCCAAGACTCCTCCTAAACTAGTCTATTTAATATGTGCTGACAATGTTCTTTTGCAGCAAAGGCCTGGCAAATTTTTCAAAGAAACCCAGAGTTACAATCCTTCAGGGTTTTAAAAAAATATCTGATCTGACAGAGACATTTACTTTTCCAGGTTATATTTTGTCTGCCCACACACTTGCCAGTCTCGTCCCACCTCAGAAAACGTAAATCCACCTCCAGTTTTTCCATCACCCTGACTGCCAATTCAGTAACAGAATGGCTCCAAAACGCTTGTGTCGACTTAGTGACCACTTCCTCCTTAAACACATTCCAGAACCAACTCGGTACCTTTGCTTCCACTCAAAAGCAGACAGCCTCTACCATCGCCGTCATTTTAAAAAACTGGTCAAATGCAAGGATTTTTTACAACTTGATTCTCAAGTTATTTTTCTTCAACCTTAAAAAAAAGTTAACGCAAGACTTATTAAGATTGCAAGGCAGAGACCAGACGAAACTTGCACCTTCCATGGCCCTATAGCCCATTCTTTTGCCAAAAAAGAAGGACTATTCCACTTCACTGCAGCAAATCTCAACCCTAGACCATTTCAGACCTTGAGCTCTGCCTGAGTCCAGACAAATTCAGAGGGCTCACCCGGAAAAGCATGTCTCTGGTTAGTCAGTGATCCAGTTTCTGCCCCTCTCCCAAAAGGCAGAAAAGCAGTGACTACTGTCTTCCTCTTGATCAATTTCCTTCTCATTTTCCTCTGTCACAGAGCTCCACCTTCCTTTGGAGAGTTCTTACGAAGCAGTTCCTAGTAACACTGGAAACAATTACTCTCCAGGAAAATACAACTTTGCCTAGCAAAAGAGCTTCATACAGAGCAATTTGCCAGTGGTCGATTTTTCATTCCAGACAAGGCTTGGAAACCTGGCACAAATCTGCCTGCAGCTCTGTAGTTCACCCAGTTTCCCGCCCCTAATCTCTGCCTGGAACTCACCCACCCATCCCCTGCAATTTGGTCACAGAAAAATAGCAATATAGATTACTTAATCCTTGAATTTTAAAAGCCTCCCCCCAGACTCAAATGTGTCTTGCATATCACACTCCTATGCGCATAACAACCAGAAGCACCAAATGAAGTCACTCACCACAACAGCAGCTCCCAAACAGGACAGGAGTAACATCTAATCTTTCCTCAGCCCAATTACAGTCAGCTTCACTTTCCTACAATTTTGTGGCCATGCACCACTGACCCCACCCTCCACATTACAAAGTCATGGCCTGGAGTCAGAGGCATCATTGCATGAAGTTGAAGAGTATGTGCTTTGGCAGACAGGCCTGCGTTCAAGTCCCAGCTCTGCCTCTTATTACCAATAAAAAGTGCCTGCCCTTGGGTAAACTATTCATTCTTCCTAAACCTCAATATATATCTGTAAAATCCAGCAAATAATCCTATCTACTTGTTAGGCATTATAAATGAGATAATATAAGGAGAATACTCAGCACGAGACATGACCCTTAATAAAGTGATTGCTGATATTCAATATCCATGGAGGTAATCTGTAGGCAGATTGCCATAAAAGCCTCCAGCACTGGTTAAAGCAAAAATATGTTCAGCCTCATTCCACTCCCACCACACAAATGAAGGGCCTTAGCAAAAGAAAAAACTCAGAAAGATCCACTCGGTACTGCCGATCCCACCACTAGACCAAGGAATGCTTTGCTCTCTGGTGAAGGGAAAGACCAGTGCAAATGAAAAAGCTAATGAAAGAGGAGCCACTTCAGGATAATCCTTTGATGGATCAGCTCAATATTTTAATGAGGGAGAAATATGTGGACCTTGGAAAGTCCCTTCTCATTCAGTTTCTGATAAATTCTGACGCTCCACTTATGTATAAATAAAGGGAGAAAAAGAAATATTGGAAACCCTAAGGATCTCAGCTGAGGTCAGAATATTACCTAAGAAATGAATACATGAGAATTGGGGCGGGGGGGGGTGCGGGGAGAGAAATCTTGAATTCCGATTTATATACACACAACTGAAGAACATTTTTATCCTGTGAAAGGCAATGAGCCAAGAAAATAGAATATTTTTAAAACTTTCTACAACAGCAAAAACTGGAGCTCTGGGAGAAAGTCATAAAGATTATTTGCTGTTCCAGATAGAAAAATCAGAACTGCAGTCTGATGTGAAATCTAGAAGTCTGTGGTCATCACAACCATAAAATCTGGTAACAACCAAGAAACATCAAGTTCCAAGATCTAGGAGGGTTCGGGGGAGGAAAACTGAGGGACAAATGATAAAGAATTTACACTACATTATCAGGAAGTTAGGGGTAAATTTTTAAAAATAAACTTAACAGGGTTTTGAATTCAAAATTCAAGAATGTGGGGAGTGAAGGGATATAAAATCAGGCAGAATCTATAGTGTTAGAGCCCGAGACTGGGAATCAGAGCACTTGAGTTCTGGTCCTGGCTCGAACCCAAACCACCATGTGACCTCAGGCAAGTCACTGTAAGGGGTGGGGGAACAATAATGATCTCTAAAATTCCTATCCGCCAAACATTTTAAGGGTCAAAAGGAGGAGGGAGCACAAATCCCAAGAACTCTCAGAACTACGAACTTGACACGAGGTGGAGAGGAAAAGACGGGAAATGAGGGCCAGAGAGCGAAAAAACTTGGAGTAAGTAACTGAGCGTCGGTGGAAACAGAAAAGCTTCAAGATGGCCAAGTACTCCTAGAGTTCCAGGGAAGAAAAAAAAAAAACTGCAAACTGCTCGGCAAATGTCAAAATGGACAGAAGGACGGGGAGAGGACAGACATCAAAAAATTATCTCCGTTAATCAATCAATAATCGGTCTGTCTTGGTAAAGAGCCAAGAGATCTCAGTGCTGCGACCACGGAAATCACTGTGACCCCTGATGCCAGGGTGTCAGGAGGCAAAATACCAAGGGGAGTCGGTGTCGGGTTCCTTTTAGGGAGGGGATTCCGAGAAAGGTTGAAAAGTGAAGGGGGGCAGAGAAAAGGGGTCTGGAAGACTATGCAAGCTGGCAGGAGGGGAAGAGAAGCCAGTGCCAGACTCCCGCCCGGAGGCAGGCGGTGGGGTCGGTGTCCAGGGCCCCGTTCTCACCATCTTGACAATGCCCCGCTGCACGGTGGGGACCGCGGGTCCCCCGGAGGAGCCGCCGCTCTGCGCGGAGGAGGCCATGTGTAGAGATGGAAAGACAACGAGTAAGGCGGCGGACCAGCTTGAAGGTGTCAATGTGGGTGTCGGTGTTGGTGAGAGGCCGCCGCGGCGAGAATCAGACAGGTGACTGGCTGCGGGCGATGGACTGGACGGACACGCCGGGCGCTCACAAGAGCAGCAGCGGGACTGGGAACGAAAAAGGAGACGCGATCTCCGCCGCCGCCACACGTTCTACTCGCCGCGCAAGCGTGCCAGAACGCCACCGCCCTCCGGCCAATTAGCGCCCAGAGCCTGCGGGACCTCAAGCCAATAGGCACCCTGCTCGCAAAGCCCCGCCCCTTAGTCTCAAAACGGGTAGCGAAATCCAGGAAGCGCTGAAAGAACTGATTTGCTGTGACGGGCTAAGTCTGGGGCGGGACTTCCGGGGCAGCCTAGTAGGTAGTGTCGGGAGGTGTAGTGGGAAAGCAAGGACACGTCAGCATCTGGCCGCGGGGCGCGGGCGGCCCTGGGAGCCTCAGGGCTAGGGCCAACCTCGCTTACCCTCCAGGCTCCTCCCATTGCGCCCTGCCCGGCGGGTCCTGGAACCCACGTGGGCGCCGGCGTTCTAGGAGGTCGCACGCGACTTGGGGAGTGCGGACTGAGAACCAGGAGCCAAAGAGGACAGGTCCTGGAAGGATCTCAGTAGTGGCTATACACCGACTTCTGACATTTTACCTCGGCTAAAAGTGTGGGGGAACTTGGAAAAGTCTGACCATCATGAAATCTGCCGATGTTGGCCTTGAAACCGAACGCGGCCGCGCTTCCTCCCTGTAGTCCGGAGTATATCTCGCTCGTATTTGTGTCGCCGGTGTCTTAGCACTTGTAAGGCGCTCAATTAATGTTTGTTGATGGAAGGAATAAATCTGTTTTAGAGGGTGACGTGTCCTGTACACTAAGGAGAACGACCCCCGTTCTTCGGGCTCTTCCCGCTCCGGTGAAGCCTGGAAAAGCCTTGCTACATGCTCTCCCTGAGCAGGGAGGAGGCAGTCCTTTGACCGAGTGTGTTGACAGCCTTCAGCCGCCCGTTCCCAGCCTCTCACCTAGCCCTATTCTCTTTTGAATAAAGAGATGACGGAGGGCGGGAGCCAGGGCATACAAATGTCTAAGTGAATGTTTAGAGACAACTAATATTCATCGAGTACCCACTATATGGAGCCAAGGACTTCAAACCTCATTTAATCTTCAAACCTGTCTCTGCACCGGGGACACCACTTACCCCTACAGCTCCTTTGAAAAGAAGTGGTTTGCTAATTCCTCCACATTTCACATGTCCCTGGGTCAAGTTCTAGGGTCAGCAACTCCATGGCGCAGAGGTCACAATATGGTAGCTGGTTTCCATCAGAGCAAACAAGTGAGAAAGCAAGAGAGGACAAGCAAGCCAGAGCCTTTTTAAATCTAATCTCAAAAGTAACACCCCATCACTTTGTCACATTCTGTTCATTAGAAGAGTCGCTAGGTTCTGTCCACACTCAAAGAGAGGGGATCCCCTGAGGGAATGAATACCAGGAAGCAGGATCATTGGGGATCACCTTAGAGGCTACCAATCACAAACTGTTCTTTAAGTAGAATTTCTTTTCCCTCAATCTAGCTAACCTCTTTTTATCTGCTCCCTTCTGCTGGAAATTTCTTCTATTTCCTCAGTCACTTTGATCTCCAACTCCACTGGGTCTGGATTTTTTGTTTAATTAATTTATTTTTTTCGAGCAGTTTTAGGTTCACAGTAATATTGAGGGGAAGGTACAGAAGTTTCTCCTATACCCCCTGCCCATACACATGCATTGTCTTTCCCATCATCAACATCACGCACCAGAGTGGTGTCTTCCTTACAACTTATATTGACACAGCATAATCACCCAAGTCCAGTTTACATTAAGGTCCACTCTTAGTGTTGTACATTCTCTAGGTTTGTACAAATGTAAAATAACATGTCTCGTCTGATCTCAGAAGCTAAACAGAGTCGAACTTGATTAGTACCTGGGTGGGAGACCACCTAGGAATAGCTAGTACTGAAGGTGTTAAAAAAAATAATAAAAATAAAATAAAACAACATGTATCATTATGGTATCATACTGCCCTAAAAATCACTAGGCCTATTTTAAGCCTTCTCTGTTTTCTTCAACTCCAACTCCACTGTCTCCCACACTCTCAAAAAGTGATAAGGCCTCCTAGTTCAGAGAGATAATAAAAGCCATCAATAACTCTCTTCATTTCCCACCACCAAATATAAAAACTTATCATCCTTCTCATTCTTCTCTTCTCCCTTATTACAAAAACAAAAAACAAAAAAAACCCCAAAAACTTCCTCCTACTGCTTAGGCTAAACTCTCCATATGTGTTCTGGATCCACCTCCTCTAACTTCTCAAGGACTCTCTTAATAGATAATTCCCTTTCCTGTTTATATAGCCTCTCAGTTTACCCTGGATTCCTATCATTGGCATTTAAATATTATCAAGTCTCTTGCATAGTAAAAACAATTAAATTTTTCCTTTACTCTACTTTCCTCTCCAGATAGCTCTCCTGCCTTCACAAGCAAACCCTCTTGGTGAAATTCTTTGTTGCCTCCACATCCTCACCCTGTGTTCAATCCTCAGCCCACTGCACTCTGACTACTGCTGGGACTGTTTACAGAAACTGTTCTCTGCAAGGTCACTAATGACTGCCCTGTGACTCCATTCAATGGATGCTTTTCACACTTCGCTTTGCTGAGCTCTCCGTAGCATTTGAAGCCGTTTGCTCTTTAAAAATGCCTTTTTCCTTCCCGTACTACTTGTATTCTTCCCATCTTTCTAGGGGCTCCTATTCATTTCTATTATGAATGACTCCTTTTGCCTACCCCTTAATACTGATATTTCTCTGGGCTCTTCTCAAAGCATCTTCTTTCCTAATTTGAAACAGTCTTCTTAAGACATCCATTCCCATGGCTACATGCTAATGATTCCCAAATATATAGCACCTGTTAAAAAACAGCCTCTCGAGTTCCAGACGTATATCTCTAGTGATACTCAAGATATCTATATGCTCATGGCTGTCATCTTGGAAATTCAAATTCAACACGTCTCACAAGGAACTTATTATCTTTTCTCCCCAACCTGCTCTTCTCTCGTATGTGTCTCAGCCCAAATAATGACACCAAAAGCTACCCACCCGCAAGTCAGAAATCTGGAGAACATCAATGACTCTCCCTCCTCCTCATTCCCCAATTCTTAGTCAAGCGTTGAAATCTGTTAGATCTACAGCAGTAAAGTCAAGTACACAGGCCCTGGAACCAAACTTTCTAGGTTCACATCCCAATACTGTATAACCTTCAGCAGGTTATGTAGTATCTCTGTTCCATGGATTTGTCATCTGTAAAATAAAGATGATAACAGAACCTACCTCCTAGGGTTTTTCTGGTTTTGAGGATTGTATGAATTAGTATATGTTGAACACAGAACACTGTCTGAATGAATCTATGTGTTAAATTTGTTATGATTATTATTAAATATCTCCTATTACTTAAACCTGGCATGTTTTCAACTGGATTGCTGCACTAGGCTTATAGTAGAGCTCTCTGACACCAGTTTTCCTTAATTACACCTCATCCATTCTTCTTACTGCAGCCAAAGTGACATTTCTAAAATGCAAATCTAATCATGTCTCTCTACTCCCCACATCCCTCCTGTGACCTGTCAACACCAGCTCTTCTCACACAGTCTGCACAGGCCAAGTGAACTTCGTTTTGGTCTTTCGAGGTATCGTTTATTGGTTTAATATGATGACTTTGAATCTACCTGCTTGTGACTTAAGTGGTATATGGCGATGACAAAGACAAAAAAAAAAAGTTTTTACAAATGAGGTGGTTTTGATGTAAGAATGAAGTAAATCATGCCAGAGTGTCATCAGTGACAGTGGTGATAAACCACCCAAAGTCTCCTCCAAAAAGATCAGCTCACCTAGCCTACCAACACTGGTGTCTTTTTTCCCTAGTAATGTGCTCTAGCAATAGGGGACTTTTACTTTTGCGCTGGCAGCTAGAGCTCAGCTCTGGGTTGGCTGCCGGCTATTCTTGTATAAAAAGTATGCTTCTGTTAAAATTTTGACTTTATTCCTTCATGGAAAAAGAGTGTGATTAATCTGTCATTTGTTAGGCTTATTGAGAGATATTATCTTGTATATGCTATTGACTTATAAAATTATTATAATTCTCACAACAAACATGTACGAAATAAATTGCTGGCAAAGACAAAAGTGAGTCTCTGACTATTACTTTTGCTGCCTCCTCACTCACACTCACTTCACCTGGCTACTATTTCCTCATCCTTTAACTTCCCACTTAGAAATCAGAGTATCTCCCCTGGAAGGCATTGAGAAGACTGCCTTCCCTCAGAACAGGATAAGTTATTTTTCCTCCTATTTTTGGTCTATGAGAGCACTTATCAGATTGTAATATAATTGTCTCCTTGCCCACACAAATGTCATCAGATTGTCTGATTTATTTATAGCGGAATTCCCAGCCCAATGCCTGGCACGGGTAGATGCTCGGGAAATATTTGTGAATAACTGAAGAAGAGAAAAGTATTATATTCATTTTACCTATATAGAACTAGAAACTCGTGTAGAATGTTGAAGGTCACATGGCTAATAACTGATAGAGGAGGGATTTGACACCAGTTCTTGTGACTCTAAAGCTCATGATCAGTGTGCCTGTATAGGAAGGAAGGAGACTATAATCCTGCTTCAGGGTAGATCCAGTCACCTTCCTGCCTGGGTAGCATCAGATCAGAGCAGATGAACTGAGTGTTGAGCAGGCGTAGAGGTGAGAAAGCCTCATCTTCTCTCAAGAAAGTTGATACAGGAGCATTTGCTGGTTTGGGAGTGTGGTGGGGATTGCAGTTCTGGTTTCTCTTAATGGAATATGGTGAGGACTTTGGCTCCTGGCCCTAATTATATCCCTGATCCCCTTGCTTGGAGCTAAGCCTAGGGTGCCTGCCCTGCCTCTCTGTTATATATACCAATTCCTTGGAGAAGGTTCAAAATTCAGATGAATGTGGACGGGATAAAAGATCAGAGCAGAACCTCTTTGTTCCCTCCAGGAGGCACCCCCACCTCCCCCACCTTCACCTCCCCATAGAAACCCATCTACTGTAAGATGTCTCCAGGTGGTCCTGTCAGAGGACGGGGGGTCAGGCATTTTATGTCAAGGATGCACTGAACATATTTTATTTTTTCAAAGGAACTGTATTTGTGAATTTTACATATACTGGCCATCTTTTGAAAATGTACTTAATTTTGTAATGTAGAGATGGACAAAATTCGTTTAACCATCAAACAGACAAACCCCTTATTTCTTGTACTCCTTTGAGAGTAAATTTAGGAAATAT